CTGGAAATCACTCAATACAAAGTAAAATGTAAACTTTTTGTCTTGAAATACTCAATACAAAGTTAAATATAAACCTTGTGTCTGGAAATCACTCAATACAAAGTAAAATGTAAACTTTTTGTCTTGAAATACTCAATACAAAGTTAAATATAAACCTTGTGTCTGGAAATCACTCAATACAAAGTAGAATGTAAACTTTTTGTCTTGAAATACTCAATACAAAGTTAAATATAAACCTTATTTCTGGAAATCACTCAATAGAAAGTTGAGTGTAAACCTCGTGTCTGGAAATCACTCAATACAAAGTAAAATGTAAACTTTTTGTCTTGAAATACTCAATACAAAGTTGAGTGTAAACATTGTGTCTCGAAATCACTCAATAGAAAGTTGAGTGTAAACCTCGTGTCTGGAAATCACTCAATACAAAGTAAAATGTAAACTTTTTGTCTTGAAATACTCAATACAAAGTTGAATATAAACCTTGTGTCTGGGAATCACTCAGTACAAAGTTAAATATAAACCTTGTGTCTGAGAATCACTCAATACAAAGTTAAATATAAACCTTGTATCTGTGAATCACTCAGTACAAAGTTAAATATAAACCTTGTGTCTGGGACTCACTCAGTACAAAGTTAAATGTCTGAGTCTGGGATATTTAGAATTTATATCGTTCAACCTGTATTTATTGTTGAGTCTATTTCACCTAATCATCCCTGTCTGTTAAAATCATACGAAAATTACATATATAAAACTGTCAATTGAAAAATGTTAGAGTGTAAGGTGAAGGTGTGCATCATTTCGCCGGACGTGACCTGCATATTATACTCACAAAGTTAATGATTTTGGCAAATGTGTACAAGGTGGAACAAAAATAAAGATACAACATTTGTAATAGAACTGAAAATTCTATTATTGATACAATGTATCATTAGTTACTGACAAGTTGGAACCAGTACAAGCTTTGTATTTTGTCTCAAAGTGCGTTGGATTATACTGAACATGGCTTTACTCTGGAGACATGCTTTCATATGATCGCTTCTGTATCGTGTATTTTATTATCCAGAGCCAAGTGTAATTTCATTGATTATGTACAGTAATATGTAAGTTATAATGTTGTATAAATCTCATATCTGCCAAGTACGTCATTTCCTAATATAGGGATACTTAGGATATGACGTTCTACAAATATTTATATCCAGGTCGATCTGATTGAGCTGACCAAGAATAAACAGAACAGGAATTTAAAAGAAAAATATATGCAGCTGTAAATTGTAAGTTAAAGAATTTGTTGGAAAATGGACGACTTAGAAATATACGGTGTTTGAGTGTACGTGGAGATGGGTGGAGAATTTTTACGTTCCAGATCCAAATGTCGGAGTTGTTAGGAGGGATCTTCTGATCGCCATTTTGTTTCGAAAAAATTATTTTTTCTCTAATTAATGTCTGAAATACA